CACACACACACACACACACACACACACACACACACACACACACACACACGGCTTCTGGGAGGCTTCCATGTTTTGGAGAATGCTTGAAATATCAAGGCCGGAAGGGAAGATGTGGGCAAAACTCTGAGGAGGAGGCCAGAAAATGCAGGTCTCGGTGGGTAGGAGGAAGGTGTGGATCCTGGCTCGGGGTGAGCTAGAGCTGGCCGGGCAGAGAGCAGGGGCATCTTGCAGGGTCCTGGGCCTGCGGACGAAGCCTGGGGAGGAATCAGACGTCCCCTTGCCCACTCAGACGCCGATCGCCTTACCCCCACCCCACGCGTGCACGCACGCGCACTACCCCGCCCCCACGAACTCCGCAGATCCCAGGCGGAGGGCAGAGAGGCAGCTCTCCGTCGGCGGGGTCGGTACTCATCCTGTGAATCCTCGGTTCCCCGACTCTAGGTGAGCCCAGCCAGTCGCCCCCGCCCGAGACCTGCGCCCAGCATTTGTCAGGTTGATGGCTGAAGCTCGCCGCACCTCCCACTCTAGGCAGGGTTTTGTCGTTGAACTTGAGTCAGGCTGTAAACATTCCTTCACCCCTCCGGAGCCAGGCTGAGTGGAGGGGAAGGGCAGAGGGGGCTGTGGCGGGACCCGGAACGTGAGAAGCCCGGCCTCTCCCAATCAAGCCCTCGCGGCTTCATCAAAGAGCTTCTGACCCTTGCCTTCCCGGGACAATCACCGGGTCTGCAGCTAAAAGCCGGATTCTTGAGGCCATCGGCAAGTCAGGCCGACATTGTGTAACTTTTTCTCTTCCTCATTGGCATTTCATGTTCGTTTACCTTATTTTAGCCAGTCCGATTCTTAATTTATTTCAACAATCAGGATAAACAAATGTGTACACAAACGAATTCTAGCTAAGGCCGATGAATTATTAGAGAATGTTCTAGCCGGTCGTCACGAGGCTGTCGCCGCTGGGTTTTACAAGCGCCCCTCCCTCGGCGTGGTAATCCTGGGGGGCCATCCCTTGCCGCGCGATCTGATCTCGGGTTGCCACCGGAGCGGCTGCCGAGCCTCGCAGAGCTCCCGGCCGCCTTCCCAGGACCTGGAATTTTAAACTTCGCAAATGGGGCGTCTCTTTACTCGGTGGCGGAGGACAGAGCGGCCTGGAGAGCCGTCCGACCCGGGAAACCCACGCCTTTCTCCCGGCGACGCGCCGACTGCGGAGGCTGCGAGGAGCGGCCTGCTGAGACGGTAGTGGTGCTGCGTGTGTGTGTGTGTGTGTGTGTGTGTGTGTGTGTGTGTGTGTGTGTGTATTTAAATAATTCAGGATCTGGAGAAAGGGAGGATCAAACACACGATCCCAGGGGCTCTCCCTGGCTCAGTAACATCCAGTCGAAGGGGAACGGAGCGCGCCGGCACGCAGGGAGGCGCGGGGGCCACTGTGCGTCTGGCGCGGGCCGCTCGGAGCGCTCGGCTTCCTTTCCAGCCCGTAGCCCCCAGCAGCTCAGCGACACCGGCTAACGAGATACCAAATCCGGCAATGCAACGAAAAGCGCCCCGACTTAGTATTTGGGACAGAGACAACGCAGGGAGGCAGGTCCTGGCCGACAAATCGGAAGAGGCCTGCGGGAGTTAGCCGGATTAGGCTCTCCCTGTCCTACCCGCCCCCACTAATGGGGCCTTTACCTGCCACAGAGCCTGCTTGAACCAAAGGGGTTTGCTATCTCTTCCTCCTCCTCCACTTTCTATCCCCAGGCCTTCGGCCGGGCCTGAGAAAGAATCCAGACAACCCTTCTGCCCTTGTGTGACCTTCGGGGAAAAGAGGCGTGGGCGCCTGGGTCAAGTTCACGGACCTGGTCTGCGTAGTTTAGAGCAAGCGAAGGCACCGTTCACATTCTGACGAGAAGGGTTGTAAGCGATTGGGACGGCGTGGGGGAGAAACAAGCTGCGAGAAAGGACTTCCCATTTTAATCTATTGTCCCAGTCTCACATCCCCTCCCCCTCTCGCAGCCCTGTAGAGGAGAAATAATTAGATCCGAAAAGAAGCCTTTTATTGGGAAAAATGCGAAGGTCTCATGGAATGAACTTCCCACAAATGGTCTTTGGCACTTGGGTAGTTTTGCGTGAGTTCGGTGCCGGCCTTTTTGAAAGTTAAGGATTTACAGTATTCGGCACAATGGTTTCTGTGGAATTTGATTCAGAGCAAAAAAGATCGCATCTATACTGCTTTCCAAAAAGCTTCCGACTGAACACATTGAAATAATTTCCCCCAACATCCTGGTCCCTACCCTACTCACCCCACCCCCCCGACTTTTTTTAAAGGGCCTGATGCAAAATGATATTCTGCCCCTTAAAAAAAAAATCAAAGTGCAAAAAAAAAAAAACTATCCCGATTGCAACAAATAGAATATGCATCTTGAAACACTGAGCTACTTTAAAAACTTTTTATAAACACCCTCTTCTAAATTAAAATTTTTTTCAATGTGTATGTTATATAATTTTCAACCACTGTTAATAGTTACTTTTTGTTACCCTTCCCCTCAACCTAGTTATGTACAACCTAATTTGGTTTGAAAACATACATTTTCTGTGTCATAAGCAATTCCTCAATTTATTTTTAGATATCACAATATGCAATGAAAGAAATTGTCATAATTTAGAAAACTGTTTCCCTAAAGTTAGTCTTTTAGGCTGTCCCCATATTTACAGAGAGGAGTTTCAGCTGGACACAGCAGCTGACACCTATAATCCCAATACTTTGGGAGGACAAGGTGGGAGAATTGTTTGTGCCCAGGAGTTCGAAACCACCATGGGCAATATAGTCAGATTCTGTCTCTACATTTTTTTTTTTTTTTTTAATTAGCCAGGCATGGTGGCACCTGCCTGTAGTCACAGCTACTCTGGAGGCTGAGGCAGGAAGATCACCTGGGAGTTTGAGGCTGCAGTGAGCCTTGATGCTGCCATTGCACTCCAGCCTTGTCTACTCCAGCTTGGTCAACAGAGCAAGACCCTGTCTCTAGAAAACACATAAATAAAAAGAAGGATGTTTTTTCCTGATTAGAAAAGTAACACATTCTTATTATTAAGAATTTCAAGGCCAGGCGCAGTGGCTCAGCCTGTAATCCCAGCACTTTGGGAGGCCGAGGCGGGTGGATCACGAGGTCAAGAGATCGAGACCATCCTGGTCAACATGGTGAAACCCCGTCTCTACTAAAAATACAAAACATTAGCTGGGCACGGTGGCACGTGCCTGTAATCCCGGCTACTCAGGAGGCTGAGGCAGGAGAATTGCCTGAACCCAGGAGGCGGAGGTTGCGGTGAGCCGAGATCGCGCCATTGCCCTCCAGCCTGGGTAACAAGAGCGAAACTCCGTCTCAAAAAAAAAAAAAAAAAAAAAAAAAAAGAATTTCAAAAATATAAAAATAATTAAAAAGAAGGAAATAAAATTTACCCCATACACTACTATCCAAAGTTTACCAAGCTACTCTTTTGTTATATTTTCTTCAGTTATTTTTCCTTGCACATGTGCACAATTTCAAAACTGAGATTCTGCATGAATTTTTTTGTCTTGCCTTTTATTTAATGTAAGATTATGAACATTTCCCAGTGTTATTAAATAGTCTTCAAAAGCTTGGTTTTAATGATTGCATAGTATCCAATCCACCAAATGTGGTATCAAAAATCATTTCTTTAATTATTGATCATTTAGATTTTTTGTTTCTATGTTTACTTTTAAAATAATTCATAAGAGAGAAATTGTTGTGTCCCTAAGTATGTTTGATAGAGAGATGAGAATAGAATCCCCCTGGGATAGAATGCTTCAAAAATTCTAGGTTAAAAATTCCCCATTCTGAAATAGCCAGGTGTGGTGGTGCGTACCTGTAGTTCTAGCTACTCAGGAGGCTGAAGTGACAGGATTGCTTAAGCCGGGGATGAACTACAATGACACCACTTCACTCCAGCCTGGGCGACAGAGGGACACCCTGTCTCCTCTGTCTCTTTCTCTCTTTTTGAGACAGGGTCTTGCTCTGTTGCTCAGGCTGGAGTGCAGCGGTGTGATCACTGTTCACTGCAGCCTTGACCTCCCAGGCACAAGTGATCCTCCCCCTCCCACCTCAGCCTCCCCAGTAGCTGAGACTACAGGTGTTCACCACCATGCCCGGCTGATTTTTTGTATTTTTGGTAAAGATGGGGTTTTGCCATGTTTCCTGAGCTGGTCTCGAACTCCTGGACTCGAGTGATCCTCCTCCCTCAGCCTCCCAAAGTGGGAGGCATGAGCCACCAGGTCCAGCAGACACCGTCTCTTAAAAAAAAAAAAAGAAGAAGAAGAAGAAGACTGGGCACGGTGGCTCACGCCTGTAATCCCAGCACTTTGGGAGGCTGAGGCAGGTGGATCAGCTGAGGTCGGGAGTTTGAGACCAGCCTGACCAACATAGGGAAACCCCATCTCTACTATACAAAAAATTAGCCAGGCATGGTGGTGCATGCCTGTAATCCCAGCTACTCAGGAGGGCTGAGGCAGGAGAATTGCTTGAACCCGGGAGATGGAGATTGCAGTGAGCTGAGATCATGCCATTGCACTCCAGCCTGGGCAATAAGAGCGAAGCTCCGTCTCAAAAAAAAAAAAAAAAAGTCCCCATTGTTAGGAGGACATAAAAAGGGGGTCTTTTAAGGTGCTCAAAATGTTCCATGTTTTGATCAAGGTGGTGGTTATGTGCATGTATACATGTGTAAAAATTCATTAAACTCAACATTCAAGATTTGCGCCTTTTACTTTTAAAATTTTAACACTGCTCTCCCACCCTCTGAAAGCTTGTATCTGTTTACAAAGAAGAAGAGCAATGCAGGAAATAGGTGGAGGAAGCAAAGCAGGGGTGGAACCAACCCAAACTGGATGGGCTTACCCCTTGCTAGGGTATTATCTTTGGTTCGGAGACCAAAATATTCACCAAAAGTAAATATTTGACAGTTAGTGATGACGGGTTGTGGGGTGGGGAATGCTTGGCGTTTCTTCCCCACCCCAGTGCTAGCTCTTGTTAGATAGAGAGGATTTTTTCCTATTATGGTTGCACTTTTGTGGCTTTGACCTTCTCTAATGAGTAGAAGATGGATAAAAATAGGGTAGAAAATATTTTAAAAGAGTTAAAATGAACAGATACACAACTGAGTCATCTAACTGTCATGTGACATAGAAGTGGGATTTTAAAATAACTATTTTTCAGAAATAGATTTTTTTAAAAAAAAATTACTTTGTAATCTACTTTCGGTTAAAAATACAACAGTCAGAACTTGAGGACTGCAAGGACAGCTGCTCTCCCAGGTGACAATAAGGACCTGGAGGCACTGGAGAGGCGTCTGAGTCTGGTTTTATTGGCACTGTTGTGTGAGGTCAGTGGGACTGTGTGCAAGCCAGAGCGTATGTTTAATCCTTGGGATGCTGAGAAGGGGGAGAAGAAAAACCCTTTATGCTATTGGGCACCAGAGCTACTTCCTGTTTGTGCTTCAGACAAAGGACTGCTACAACGCTTCACACATTCATATTTAGTGATGACTTCTTATTTTTTATAGTTTTATTCCTTTTTCACTTAAAATCAGGATAAAGTTGGATTTTTAATATTTTATAAAGAAAGACATGAGACATCTTTTCGTGTCAAAAAATACTGTGGATGTTTTACAAAACAACTTTCCTTTTTCCAAGTATAACACATATCCAATAAAGTGTATTAATCTTAAGTGTATAGCTTGAAGAATAGTTACCTAGATAACCACCATTCAGAATAAGATAGAAAACATTCCCTCTATCCCTGTGGGTTCCCTCAGACCCTTTCCTGTATAATATTCCAGATGTAACTGCCATTATTTTATTTTATTTTAATTTTTGAGACAGAGTCTCACTCTGTCGCCCAGGCTGGAGTGCGGTGGCATGAGCTCAGCTCACTGCAACTTCTGCTTCCCAGGTTCAAACAATTCTCTTGTCTCAGTCTCCCTAGTAGCTGGGATTATAGGCTCCTGCCACCATGCCCAGCTAATTTTTGTATTTTTAGTAAAGACAGGGTTTCACTATGTTGGTCAGGCTAGTCTTGAACTCCTGACCCTAGGTGATCCACCTGCCTTGGCCTCCCAAAGTGCTGGGATTACAGGCATGAGTTAACATGCCTGGCTGTAACTGCCATTCTGATTAGTCTCAAATCCCCACATCTATTGACATTAATTTGTTTTGGCCGTTCTTGAACTTCGTATAAGTAGAATTA